CACGAAAAATAATCCAAAAAAGCCAGTGACAGCAACGAAGCCAACAGGACACGGGGAAGGCGCTGGTTCTGGGCAAGCCACAGACTTGAGTGCAGGGCCAGGAAGGCTGATGCAGGAGGCTGGGGCGTCCTGGGGATGATCCTGGCTTCCCTGACTTAAGCCAGTCGGGACACCCGAGGAGAGGAGGCACACGCTTACACACTCGAGTGGCAGGCTGGCATAGGGAACTCGTTTTTGAGGAGATTAAGGTGAATTTAATCCTTTTACCACATACCCTCCATGAGTCCCCAGGTATTATAGAATATTTGCATCAAAAGACAACCCTCTTGAAAAGAGAGATTCAACAAAACTTTAACTTCTTTCAGTTAATTAGCAAAGGCTCTTTAAGAACACCAAAGATAATGCTGTAATTCCATCTGTACTCCAGGTAGGAAAAAACACATACTTCTCTTTTTTCCCCCTTCCTTTATAATGGAGACACTCTACAGTAGCTATTAAGAGACAAAATGCGGAACTGAAAAAACTAAATCCTGTCATTGTAACATAATTATTCTTTTTGCTCTGTCATTTAAACAGCCATAGACATAGCTCCCCTGATTTCTCTGCTCTGCTGAGTACAGAAATTCTCGTACACAAAGTCAGCCCGGGGTCACCTCCACCTCTAGCTTCTCTCTCTCCATGTTCTCTTCCAAGGATTTTTCAGTTACAACCAATGAAACTTCTCAGAAGTCTAGGATGATGGAATCCGGTTACCTAATTCAAAGTCTGCTAACTAGAAATCTTGCCATTGGATAAAAATTATGATCATCTTTACTAATGTGGCCTTAATTACTAGTAAACTGCAGGGTTTTTTTTTAAGTTTCTGAGTTAAGTTTCTCATCTCCCTCAATGGTATTTTCCAAATAAGAAACATGAATAAATGTATTTGGCTATCATATTACTATTATATTAATAGGAACCTAGATAAATCTCTTCTACAGTTTTAGAGGAAGAGAATGCTATTTACTGGAGTTCATACCCCATGTGGATTCAAATGCCATGATAAAGTGAAATACGTCTTCTGAACACAGTGAGGCACAGACTCTCAGTTTGAATATAATAATAGCAAATAAGAGTAGAAGCCAAATTATTTTTGGAAAACATATTGACATAGATAAAGTACTCTCACGTGGTATTATTCCATTCAAACAGAAAGGCTGTGCCTCATTGTGTTCAGAAGCCCCTGTGAGTTCAGAGACATACTCATTTTACTGTGGTATCATGGAGGCCCACTATTTAACCAGTTCTCAGAGGGATTTCCTCCATGTGAACCATATCTTGAAGTTATTGAGTATGTATCTTAACTTATGACACAAATGTGATCAAAACACATTCTATATTATTTTTATATTCATGGAATTTTAGATTTATGCTATTTTAGAAGTAATTTCAGAGAAACATGGCAAAGACAGCACTATAAAATGGATCGATGTGTGAGTCCCTGATGCAATATGTAGCCGTGCCTCAGAAACCAGGACAGACACTGGGGATCCTACGAGGACAAACCCCAGGGCCTCCTCTCATAGCAGGGAAGAGAGACAAACAAATCAGTGATGACACTATGGCTAATGAATGGTGTAAGGAAGTCAGCGAGAGGACCATAGGAGCACTCAGGTGGGGCATCTAACAGCTAGACGTAGACAGAAAAGGCCTCGATGGGAGAGCAGCAGCAACAGCCTCGGGCCATGAGAGGTAGCAGACGAGAAGGAGATGGGGGCCCGGCAAGAGGAGCAGCAGACTGCAAACTGGGGAGATGCGGCCGAGGGGCTGCTGCTCCAAGAATGCCAATTATCTCTGGGGTGCAGAGTGATGAAGATGAGCAAGGAAATGATTGCAAAGGTCTACAAAGCAGGGGATTTAGATTCTTAGAGAAATCATTCTAACTGGTGGAAAAGACAGACCATGTGAAGGCCACAGTGGTGGGGGCAGGGAAATGAGCCAGGAGCATACCTTGGTGATGCTGCTGAGAGGGGCCCATGCAGCCTTTGAACTCAAGCTGTTTTACTAGCAAAGAGGATAGATGATGTGTGAGCTCAAAACTTGGGAAATAAATAGAAGATAAGTTTCAAAGAACATGGTGGCTAGCCTGATGGATGTGTAGAAGTAGACGTGACTGAGATGACCCCAGGGGCCAGGGACATGGTGATCCCTCGAGTGGTTGGTAGTTCCATGCATACAACTGTGAATGGAATATAAGCTCCCTGGATGGTAGGGGAGGAAAAACAAAGGAAATAGAATTAATGAGTCCAGTAGTCCAAACTACTAGCATGTAGTTTGAAGCTGCAATGAGATATCAAGGTCAAGATGTCGGCTAAGACATGTTCATATAAGTCTTCAATTTAGAGGAGAAAGTCTGGGCTGAAAGTCTGAGATGCAGAGACCCAGAGAAAGGCAGACCCATACGCAATATGGACATTCAAGTGCAAAAGGAACACCTACTTAGGGAGCCAGAGCACTGCAGTCTCTATAACTATGTGAAAGACGCCCAGTTCCTTAAGATGAATTAAACAGCCCTCCTATCCTCATTGGCAACACACAGATGAAGATAGAATTTTAAGGAAATTATAAACAAATTCCTCTTTCCTCTAGTAAGGAAGAAAGAAGGCAGGCAAATAAAACAGAATAAAGAGTGCTAGTAAAAACAAGGAAAAGAGAAGAAAAGAAAGAGGAAGATAGTCATCAAGAAGGGAAGGCAGGAAGTAAAGGGAAAAAGAGTCTTTCAAGCTTCTCTTTCCTGAATGAATGAAATAGTGAGCTTCACACAATGGCCAAAGCACAGAGAAGCTTGAAGGATTCGGAACACTGAAGAAAACCTGTCGAAAGATCTTAAGGAAAGGCTGGCCTTCAACATCCACTTGGAAATCCAGGGGCCGATGTTAGATTTCAAAACAAGGATTTCTCGTGAAACACAAACAATTGATTCACCCAGGGCAAATAAGTCCAGAGTGAGAGAAGTTACGGGTTAGTGGACAAGTATGATATGGGCACTAAGGTTTTTGGCTTTCCTTTGAAAATGTGCTGTGTTTATTTTCTAAAAATATAGTATCAGATAATAATAATTTTTATAAGCAATAATAAAGATGTTTGTTATTTTTTAAGTTTTATAAATTTTCATTTTAAAAATAAAAATCATATTATTGTTCCTGTTTCTCTTAGACCTTCCATATGGCCTGGGGCTACCTTGATGAGGGCACCACCACCTCCTGCTAAGAGGTAAGTAGTGGTGTTTTTGAGCTGAGGCTGCTTCCTGAACACCTGCACAGCCAAGTACTACAAGAAATGACATCATGGATTACATGTGACATGAGTATGAAAAGAAAAGAACATACATTTTATATGTGAAGAAAGCCCAAATGAATTGTGACCAGTGTCATGTCGGGTAAGGCTAATAAATATGGAAGCAGCAGGCATGGGACTGTGAGCACTTGGCCCACAGACAGTAAAGAGCTAGTTTTATTCCTTCTTCTTAAGAGACTAGCTACAAGTGACCCAGCCACACTGGCTACAGAGATTAGCCACACAGGCTACAGAGATTAGCTCACCTTTTAGTTCACAGATATCTGCCAAACCAAGCATTCATGGTTTAATGCTGACATTCCTACAGGGGATTAGGTAGAATTGCTAATATCCCACCTTTTTGTGGTCGTATAAACTCAGCAATTGTATATTCAGCCTAACAGAAAGTAAAGGCAGAGAGGACAAGAAACTTCTAGAATGAGCTGGGAGTCTCACTAGCTGTAAGAGGTAAACAAAGCAAGAAATATATTCAACAGCACCTCCAGAAAATGATCTAGGAAAAGTTCTGGGGAAGTCCAGAATCTGAGAGAAAGAAGCAAAGGATGGAGACCATCTCTCACCCCAGTTTCAGATTTAGAAACAGACGCCAAAAACTAAAACCCCTCGAGACCACCATTGAATGCCGTTCCTCAACAAGGGACCCCACAGAAAGAGGAGAGCAGAAAGCATTGCAGGGAGCGAGGTACCCAGGCTGCTGGCTATTCCAGGCACTTCTTGCAGACTGTCATTCCAACTCCGTAGATATGGCAAAGCGCGTACCCTTGCTTCACAGGCACCGCAGGGAAGGCAGCCACTCAGTGTAAGTAGGTCACCATGCATCACAGGCCACAAACAGGAGGAACACTTCTAAGGGTCCCTTATTGTGAGGAAAAATGACCCAAGGCCAAGTCCTGAAATAGCCTTAGGAGTATAATGGATAGGGAGCATAATAGATAGGAGATACTCAAACATATTGCCCCACCCCCTTCTTTCTCTTTCTCCTTCTCCAACCCCATACGGACGTTCAAGTCACTCGTTGAAGTAAAGCACACTGTAGAATGAATAAACAATCTACATATCTAGTCATCATACGAGTTAGTCAAAATGAGGAGGATAGGGCCGGGTTAAGTCTGGACAATAGGATGCTGCCCAGGAAGGTAAAACTGAGTTGAAGCAGAAGCCCAGAATGGGAGTATCAGGCAAGGGGCAAGTCTGACAAGCAGAGAGGGGGTGATGTGGATAGAGTCAAGCCAAGACCAGCTCTGCCAACCTCCCGCTGTTAGGGAAGCCAACACCCGCCACTGACCTGCTGCTCAAACAGAGGCTAACTATATGCCTCCCTGAAACCAAACAAGCAAGAACACGTTTATCTGGACACACTTTACCACCCCTGAATGATCACCTCCATGATTATCTGCTAGTCCAGAAAATACACACTCAAGAGGTCAGGGAAGGAGAATCATCTATCTCACATATGGTTATAATATCCAAAAGAAGGGTGTGATAACCGTACAATAAACATGGAGAAAAAATATATGTTTCCACGAGAGAGACCAAGGAACTGCTGAGTTTCCTGGCCTCTTCTCTCCCAGCACAGCGAGGTCCCCAGACCATGCACATGCTCTGCCTGCATTCTGCTCTCCAACATCTTCCTGTCAGTCAAGGTGGGCGAGGGGCAGACTCACTCGTTGAGTAAAGGCATGGACGTTCTCCTCTTGCTCTTCTGTACCATGTTGGCCTGATTCCTCAGGGAGATGCGAATCATAGCTGGGGCCAACCTACAGGGCTCCCCATCCACTTGCATAGGGATGGATTTGTAAGTCAGAAGCATGACTTCTCGACACTGGTGTAGCCTTTCTCCATGACCCCCAACTTGGAGCGCAGCCTGGGAAAACAAGAACCGAAGGGTAGCAAGGAGTCAGAGCTTGTTACTTAAAAATGTTTAGGAGCCTCACGCCCGTTTGTATGTACCCAAAGAACTTTTGATAAGCATAGTAAAGTTAGCCTGCAGTATAGTAAGAGTCCTGAATGAATCATTAATTCAATAAACGTTCACAATTTTGATGAGCATTCATATAAATTCCCATTAATAGCCACTTTTCACTTTTATGCACTTTAAATCTAAATTTAATTATATAAGTTTAATTAAAAAAATTTTCTTTGCATTACTTATACTCATTAAATAATGTAAGTAGAACAAAAAGAATATGAAGGTGATAAAGTGCATAATGTATTAATTTAAAATTAATTAAAATTAAAGTGTACAATTAATTTAAATTATTAATTTAAATTTAATACAAATTAAAGTGCATAATTTGTATTAATACAAATTTAGTGTATAAATTTGTATTTATCTAATTCTTAAATATGCAGCCCTGGTTGGTTAATTTTCAAGCTTGGGCAGGCCTTTCCCTTTTACACAAAACCTTCTCAAGCTCTTTCTAAGCTATATGATGTCAATAAAATTCAAAATAGTATCAGTGACCCAATTAAAAACCTTCTGAAAAGCAAAGCTGCTTTAAGGATCAAAATCAAACACAGTAAGAGCTCAGTTTGCTATGGTAGCCACAGATGGACATCTAAGCCAATATTAAAAATCTTTTGTTAATAGGAACAAATTAGCATAACTTTCCTGACATATTAAAGACAAACAGAAAAAAAGTATTTAGTATCATTTATCCTTTGAGATTACACAATATTATTACATAGTTTAATGAATATTTTATACACATATTTGAAGCTCCAGTATTTCAAATTGTATATGAAAACACTACACTGTACCCCATGTTTGCATTAATGTATACAGCTATCATTTAATAAAAAATAAATAAATAAATAAATTGGCAAAAAAAAAAAGAAAGAAAATCTGTATCACTCAAGAGGTGTCCACATGCCCCTCCACAATCTATTATATCCCTTCTGCCAATTAGTTGGTAATTGCTATTGATTCTACTACCATAGATTCATTTTGCCTGAACACCAACTTCATATAAAATAAATCACACAATATATACTCTTGTACCTGACACCTTTTGTTCATCTTTATGTTTGAGTGATATATATCAAATGTATTTATTCATTTTTCTGCAGGTGAACATAAAGTTGTTTCCAGTTTGGGGATATTACAGATATAAACTTTCCCATACATATCTGTTGATGCACACACACTCTCTTGGGCATAAACGTGTAGAATTGCTATGTCATAGGTTTAGGTATATAGTAACTTTAGTACATACTTTCTCAGAAGGTGGTATCATAGAGTATCAACTAATGTATAAAGCAGTAAATTTTTACAAAGTATTTAAATACTAATTCTAGCTTTAAAAATTTACTCTTGGAAAAAGAAAAATATATACTGTCAGCTCATTGTAAAATGTCTCATCTCTATGAGTGGGAAAAGCTTGTTAACTGAGATTTATGAAGTCAATGTTTACTTATTTGGATGTTTACCCAATGTTTATAATTATTTTATATGAATTCTGAACAATAAGTCTATTGTTCAAAATAATTATATGACTTCTGAACAATAGATTTTATGGCTATTAAACCATAGATTGTATGGCTATGAACAACAGCCATACAATAGATTTTATTGTTCAGAAGTCATATAAAATAATTCAGCTGCAAAAATTAAACTATAAAGGCAAAAATTTAAAAAGGACAAAGGGAAGGAAAAGGGAACAGAAACCAAAAAATAACAGCTCATCATTATTGGACACTGTCAATGTTACGGACACTCTGCTGTGTACTCTGCATCCATTTTTATTCAATCAGTGGGAGAATAAGAAAGCAGAGGAGACTGTAGTGAGAATTTACTACAATATTTTTGTTCTTTTACCCAATATTATCTTATTCCTTTTTCTCTTTAATTTTGAAAATAAAACTGATGGTAGATTAAAATGCAAAATCTGCCTGTTAAGAATTAAACAAGACTGAAAATTGCTTGGATACTTCCAAACCCTTAGTGTTAGAAGGCATATACAATATTCTGGACCACTTTAAGCTCACTTCTCAAAAGTAAGCAATAGCAAATACTATGGACATAGAACTAAGTAGCTGTCAATGCCAGCTCTACTGGTATTCAGATTCCAGGAATAAGTTAGAGAAGAGTCAGAAACAAGTTAGAGCATAAGTAATTTTGTAAATTCTTACTAGAAATATATATTTCTCATCTCTCAGTTTGGTCTAGGACTGGTACCTTAAAAGGCACAAGCCCTGATGGCCACATACCAATAATACTTTGATTTATTAATGACAGCCATTCAGCTATTTATTTAACCTAGTATGTGTTTGTCTTGTAAAAACACCAAATGCTGCCTTTCTGCTGATTTGAGCAGAAAACTAAGACAATGCCCAAAATAAGTGACTTCATTGCTATTCACTGCCCAAGACCATAACTTTCCTTTGCTCCACAGCTATATCTTGAGGTTTTTCTGTCTTTCCAGACTATATTCCTTCCTGGATTATTTTTCCTTATCCCCCCCCTCACACTTCATCCTCCTTCTAACTACCCAAGTCCTCATTCTGCTTGTTGTCAAAGGATGGACTCTCCTGGTTGGAGGAGAGAAGCAAGGGCGAATCCTCCTCTCCATCCATCCTTCCTCACTGCTGCAGCCCCTAGACTCCTAGAACAAGACTTCCAAGGCATAAATCATTGGCGTGGAAAATAGATACTGGAGATCATCAACAATACTAACATCTGTACGCTGTGTAAAGACCAACGGGTATGGTTTGGCACCTGTGGCTCAAGTGGCTAAGGCGCCAGCCACATACACCTGAGGTGGTGGGTTCGAATCCAGCCCGGACCTGCCAAACAACAATGACAGTGGCAACCAAAAAATAGCCGGGCGTTGTGGCCAGCGCCTGTGGTCCCAGCTACTTGGGAGACTGAGGCAGGAGACTCACTTGAGCCCAGGAGTTGGAGGTTGCTGTGAGCTGTGATGCCAGAGCACTCTACCCAAGGGGACAGCTTGAGGCTCTGTCTCAAAGAAAAAGAGCAATGGGGTGAACAAACCTCTCACAAGACTAAACATGAAAACAACAGAAAACATAAAGCTATTTCACTTTACTAATTTTTTTAAAGGAGACAGCTAAAGAGATAAGAGAGAGTTTAAAAATCATACAAGAAAGTTATAAAGACACCAAACTGGAAAATCTAGATAAGAGAGAGAAATTTAGGGGAAAAATAACACCTACAAAATCAGATAGATCATAGAAATTAAATAGATCCAAACTACTTCAAAAGTTGAAAGAATTATAAAAACTTCTTTCTCGTTACAAGTCAGCTCTATCCAACTTTAAAAAAAAGTTGATATTTAATCAAATTGCTTTAGAAAATATAATTTTTCAGCTTCTAAATAAAATAACAAAACCAGCTAAGAGCAGTAAAAGAAAATAAAATTTTAGCCTAACTTATATTTATGACCATACATGCCAAAATCAATTTAAAAATAATTGCAATCTGAAATCTCTTTAATAGAAACTAAACTTACGATGTTTTATTGTAGGAATTTGAAATTAAGAATAGCTCAACATCAGAAAATTCATTATTGTAATTTTACCATATTAATGGTTTAAATGAGAAACCACTCATTAATCATTATCATCTCAAAATTTTCAAGAAAAAATAATCAAGTTCAATGCCTTTCATGATAATAAATACTTAGAAAATTAGCAACAAGAAGAAACTTTTTTAACTGATAAAGGCCACCTACCAAAATACCTAGAGAAAATATTATTCACAATAAGAAAATTCGGAAGGAGAGTGTGATGCTCCCACTTAATGGGCACAATGTAAGGGTATATGGCACGCCTCTCGGGGGCAGGACGCAACTACACAAGGGACTCTACCTAACAAATGCAAACATTGTAACCTAGTTGTTTATACCTTCACATTAATCTGAAATTTAAAAAAAGATTTGATGAATCTCTAATCTATGAGCTGCACTCTCTTCAGTTCTTCTAACATCTCAAAATTAGTCTCCGATATTAAATATCCTCAATGCAATTACCTTTCATGGGCTTTTTTCTTCTCTGATACACTACACTAGTTACCAAGATGAGAAATTTTCCTTAAAAAATTTTCAGTGACACCAATATCAACTAATTCATAGCTTTCTCAATTTTATTATCACAAAGCTACATCATTAAGATTTACTGACTTTTTTCATTTTCTCAAGAATGTTTGGATAAGAGTATTTTTTAAAAGCTTCACTAAAAACATGCATGGAGTTGTTTAAATATTGTCATAGTTTGTTCTCCATGTGAGTAAATATTCATGGCAAAAATAATTCCACAGATGCAGTTTCCCTTCATGTAAGGTGATTACGGCATGCTGCTACAGTCTGTGTCAATCCTACCAATTTAGAATTCCTACAATTCTATAATCTCAGGCTCTCAGATTCTCCCTCAGCCCATTGAGACTCCTCTTTGTTACCTTGACTGTATCAGCCACTGGAGACAATGAAGGGGAGGAGAATAAAAAGAAAAGGACTGCATTTGAAAAACCTCCCCTATGGATCATTAAAAAAAATAGTAATTGTTGAATATTTACTATGAAAAAGAGTTTTATAGAAACCTAAACACTCTCATTGGAATTACTTGTATACATATGTTTATTTAAATTTTTATTCAATGAAGGTAGACTCTAGTCACAACCAACTTGAGTTCATGAAAAGGAAAATAAAAATAAACAGGCCTCCCCCAAGAGAAAAACAGAAGATGCCTGTTCAGTTTCACAGCTATCAGTTAGATCTGTCCTTGGCTTCAAGATGCAGTTTGGAGAAAAAAAAAAAAAAAAAAAAAACTCAACTCTCTACTTTTTAGCTGGTTACATAGACAATAATTGCTTTAAATATGTACTATCCTAACAGGATTAGTGTAATG